TCTGAAAAATATAGCATTTTCAAATCAAAACTCAACAGTACAAAAGGCAGTGTCCTCCTGCTCTTCTTCCTCAAAGTAAAAGGAAGAAAACTTATTAAGCCAGAGATTCAACTTTTATGTAGTGTTTACAGTGGCTAATTCCAACAGTAGTCAAAGGAGGATATATTCAATCCAAGACAGCAGCACCCAACACCAGGGAAAGAAATGATTCACAAAAATGTTAACAATTTGAATACTAAAATATCCTGAAAGACTCAGCCATCTGAACAAAGACTCTGAAATTTTTAAATATATACAGATATATGTGTTGTTTAATGCAACTTGGGCCTACTTGAAAGCAGCTCTTTTCTCCAGCCCTGTTCTTTCACCATATGCAAGATGAACATGAAGCCCACACATGCATAGGATTTTGCTGTTGCAAGGTGAATTAAAGAGACAAATACATACTTGTCAACTATGAAAGAAAAGTCAGTACACACATCTACATCAGGTTTGCAAAGCATGAGCTTATCTGTAACAGGAATTTAGTATGTCCTTTTAAGCCAAGTCTACAGGCAAGAAAGTATTTACACTGAAGTAATTTGTTCCACTCCTGAATACAGAAAGAAAAGCCTGACTCCTTGCTTCTTCAGTTCTTAGAAGACAAATGTAACTGAAGTGCATCAGTGATAAATCTAAAACTCAGCATTCCTCACCTGCAAGTGAAAGGCTGAATCAAATACAAATTGAATTAAGGTGTAAAATGACACTCATTAAGGTTAATTTTTACTCTAATAAGGATGCACATAGCTTTGACTGCTCTGAGACAATAATCATCTCGAACTAAAACTCACACACACACACACACACACACACTCCCCGTTCCTTATAGTACTTCAAATGCATCCTATGTAGTGACAATTCATATACAAACTTTGAATGTCAACAGACATTCACGTGCACACCAGGGAAGAAAAAGGCAGATCAACTACCCTTCTACTTACTGCCTATTCATCACGCCTAGAAATAGATCCAGGATATATTTACCAGAAGTCAGCATAAAGTTTTGAATTTTTGATTTTTTTTCAAATGTCTCCTTTTCTCTTAACACAGAGCCCGACAGCATTAGGGAAAATCATTTTGTGGGTCTGTACAGAGCACAGAATTTAATGAAAAACTGGCAACCTTTCAATATCCTTCATGAGGTGCGGTAGGTCTGATCAAGGAACCCAAACAACCAACAAGTGCGTGTGAATGGAAAAAAGGGAGAAGGCAAAAAAAAAGAAGGGGAAGAGGAAAAAACGGCAAAAGAAATATGTAACTGAAGTGCAGTGAAACTCAACTCTAAATGTTTCATTCCTACTAAAACTCCTGTAGGTGTCACCACTAATCCTATAATTAGGTACTACTAGAATTACAATAACCAACTGTAACTAGTAAGGAATTTTGTAATCTCTTGCAGATAACACTTCTGTAGTCTAAACAGTTCTATGCTGTTGGTAAATTAATCATGGAGAATTAAAACCGGTTACCCCTTGGAATAGTTCTACTGCTAATGGAAAAAGCACTGCTGGGTCAAGTAAAGTTTTCAGTAATTATGTTCATATCATGAATCTTGGCAAGGAGGATTGTACTGATTTAGCTTTGAGATGATCTAATGGGAGGAGAGGGGAAGAGGGGAAGCACCTACTTTCAATATCTTCCATATGTGCCTGAAGAGTTCTTGCAAGGTTAATAAACTAGAAACAAGGCAGAGAGAAAGTAGTTTAAAAGTTGCAAAGTTATCTGCAGAAATTTGCAACAAGTTAGCAAAGTTTTCTTCACTTTTTACATCCCACAGCTTCATGCCATATGTTGGTTACCCTAACCCATTTTCCCAACTTACAAAAATCAGTGCAAAATTTAATATAAATCCCCACACATTAGACTTCAAATTGCTACTGCACAGTTATTTCAGCTTCCACTCTATGTCAAATGTTTCTGGTAGCAGTTAGTGGCATCATCTTCATGTTCTACAGTCTGTAAAACACATCAGTTTTGAAAGCAGCAAATATAAACAAGTGCCAGTTTAATGAATACCATTCCTAAAAACCGTAATGCAGAAAAACATAATCATGGTAAGGACTTGCATTAGTTGGATCCATTTAATTGACTTCACTATTATTATGACAAAACAGGGTCCTTTGATTGAATGAGATTAATGAAAAATGCATGACTACAGTTACAGTTTTTGTGTACCCATAAAATCTTAAGACCAGGATTACTATTAGGCAATAGTGGTAGTTTAGTGTTGGAAGCACATGGTATTAAAACCCAAAGCCAAAATCCCTAGGAATAACATGTCTCAGCCAAGTGGTTTTCTTTTATCACTGGCAATCTGCATCACTGTTTCAGCTGAAGTCCAGATGTTGAGACACAGCAAATGAGTCTCATTTGCTTATTTGTATGCTGGGTATCGAACAGCAGCACTGGTGCTCTCACTGGGTTAAAATGCAGTGTCACACACAGAAGTATGTAATGCCTCCTCTGATGAAAATCCAGTAAAAACAACTTCTGTAATACACTCAAGCTGTACTATACTGGATGCTGGCTACCGTTAGATTATGTGTCTTTTGTATCTCTACACTCACACCAGGGAAACTGCACATTTCACTTGTGGACCATGGAATACAAGTTCTACATTAGCTGCGTACAGAAAAGAGGACCGCTGTTCTAGGACCTTAACAGATTAAGAGTCCTGCCTCTTCCCCAAAGGCCTAGTGCCTGCTGGCAGTCAACCATTCCAATACCCACTGGAGAAGCTTAATAGTGTCGCTTCTCTGTATCCATGTAAAAAACCCTGATATGATCAGCTTTTCAAGGCGCTCAGTTGACTAAGAGTACTGATTCATTATCTAGTATCAAATAAACATGTAAAATACTGGATTTCTGAGTGAGTCACTATGCAGAAAGAACTTTGTATGCTGATCTCTTACTTGTAAAATGCGCACTTAGCATCTTTCTATGCCAAGCCATTTAAGTGACAAGAGGACAGTTAAACACAAATAATAGGAGTTTAGACTAATGCCAAAAAAGTCATACTGTAGCTATAGTCTGTTTCACAATATTCATAGTCAAGTACGTATTTAGGTGTAGTCCATGAGACAATCACTGCAAGTTCTAGACCTCTGCAATGCAGACTGGCATAATGAGAAAAATTAAACAAATCAGGTAGTCCAACATTCTTAACTGCATGTTTTGTACAGGGAGCATTTAACCTTCCAGTTTTGTGTAAGTTCACAATGATCATGACAACATACATGCAAACCAATGAATGACCAACAACCTTGACAAAAAGCATTCTGCAACACAGCAACTGCAAGTTTCGAATCAAACATGGTGGTACTGCACTGACAAGCCCAGCCCATTTTAGACCTAAAATTCTTTTAAAAACCATGTTTCTTGGGTATCTAGCTCCTAGGTCACTCAAGGTAACAATCCCTGCAGAAAATCACTTCATACTTACTCTGACACGTGTGCTGGCCTCGTTGGCAGTTCCTAACATATCAGAAAAGCGCTGCTCGCATAAGTGTAACAACACTACAAGGTAGAGACCAGAGCTGATAAATTCATAGTCTGCCTTAAAGGAGATCAAAAGAAACATTCAGAATGTCAGTAATACGCCTGCATATATGATTCAAAAAGTAGAATAAGATTTTACAGGAATGCTTATATATTTATCTCTAGTTGTTCCAAGAGAATTAGGGAAATGAAATACAAAACAATTTTAATTACTGAAAAGTTATTTATACTTTTGGTTCTTCCCACGCACCTTGGACCTAACATGTTATCCTTGAAGATAAACAGAGTTCTACAAACAAAATCTCAGTCAGCATGATTAGTTTAGAGGAAAGAATCAGAGTATTATATCATTTGGAAAAATAAAATTAATGAACATTCTTGGTTTCTTCTCCGTGATGCCAATGCTTTACAGAAAGCCAAAATAAAGGAATGTATTTTCAAAATGCTATGATGTTATAAACATTTTGAGAAATTCCTTTCCCCAGGATAAAGAAAAACTTTAAAAATGCTAGCACTGACCAGATAATTTAGCATACCTTTTACAAAAAAAATTCAAAGCTTATTTCTAATTAAGTACAGTGACGGTGACCAATAATTAGTAGTATTAAAACGTAAGATGATGGCACTCTCAAGAAAGTTTCAGTCTGTCCCAAGTGATAGGAATTATGGGTACTAGCATAAGAACTTACTCAAAATAATAAAAAAACATAGAGGTTGATGTTTTGCCTCAAAACTGATGTTACTTGGTATTTTCTTTCAACTTTTGAGGTAAGCTAATACCATTAGTCTTTATATATTCTCAGAATACAACCCGGAGAATAAGGAAACCCCCCTGCATAAAGTTAATTAAAAACACCAGCTTTGTGTTATTTACTCATTTTTAATACTACACAATCCAGTAGTTCTAAGATAATGTATTTTCTATAACAGAAGTATTACTAATGGGCCTTGGATTATTTTTAATTTCGGAAACAACTTGAAGGAGCAGTCAGAAGCTGTTAGAAAAGAGGTTAGTTTCTATCACTTCAACAAAACATAAAAAGTTTGTAACGGTACATTCCAAACAACCACTAAGTGTCTTCAGCTAAAAGCAAAGACAACTCATGACAATGTGAAATTCAGTCCAATCGTAATGGAGTTCACACTGCACCTATGTGATAGAGACAAGGGGCTGCAAAGCTAGATGGCAGATCTGCAACTAAGAGAAAAGACACGTCACACTTACTTAAAGCTCAGCTATAGGAAGCAGAAAGACAGAACTGGTCTGAATATTGAGAAGACAAATCTGTTCCACACTGACATTACTTTCTATGCATAACAGTCCTTCTGAAATAGAGATGCATTGCCTTCTTAAAGAAGACTGTCCTCCCAGCACTAAACCAACACCTACCAAATTAAGTAAAATATACTAACTTGTTCATTTGCATGTGCCCTATAGAGTTCATGAATGTCAAAGTCTTCCAGATTCAGATGTAACTTCTCCTTGCACAATTCACAAGTTGTCACTGCTTCCAAAGAAGAACCTGGTGAGGAGGGGAGCAAGGGGTTTTAAGAATGTATGACACAATCATACAAACATTGTAAACTCTAAGTTTTGGCTTTATTTTGCAGAGCAAGGTTAGAAGAAAAGAAAGCCTCTAAATGTAGTGACATCTGCTACTGTCAGAATTTAAATGCTGTGGAACATTTTTCTCTATATGGCTGCACCTATTTTGCCTCACGTTCATTTTGGATACAACAAGCCTCTTACTGCAAGTCTGGCATAAAATTACTTCTTGGGTTTTTTGAATTTTACCACATAATCCAAAATGCACACAAAAGTAAGAATAAATATACCAGAATAGCTTAAAGTTATTGTCAGAGTAACGTTTTGTCTTAAGTACCAGTTCTAAAACAAGCTGCTCCATAAGCAACCAGGTGAACAAAGCAAGGTGATGGTGGATTTATGTCTTTACATACAGTTAAATACTTCAAATTAATTTCTTCTATAGGCTGAGGCTTCTAATACATCCCTACTCTGATGATGTGTATCCTCTGATACTGAGTAATAAAGCAAACAGATGCTAGCACCTTCCTTTGGTAAAAAGTATTTCATGATTTTTGCGTCTTCTACCAATACTGCAGATAACTTAGTTATAAACTGGTCAATCGATTTATTACAAAATTTTTTTCCCAGTGTGCAATGTCTGAAGTGTTTCTTAAAATATTCTATATGCACTTTGAAGTTGTTTTTGAACAAGCAGTTTTAAAGTGCCTTGAACAAGAGCTAGTATGTTTAAAAAAAAATAAAGTACTTAAGTCTAGTTAGAACTGAAAAACATTTATGGATTTTAAAATCCTTATCGCTCTGCTACAGTCAGCTTGGCTATATAAGTCTTGCAAAAAAACACAACCATACTCATAAGGAAGGGTGGGGAGCAAACTCCACCCCAAGCAGTACCCCCAAAGTGATAGAGTAGTTTTAAGGCTACACTTCATCCGTGTACTTTGTCTAATACCTTTACAGACAACCCTAAAAATGTAATTCTCCAAACAACAAACAGTTCTTGGAACTACTCACATGAGAAACTGTACAGACACACAATAAGTCTGGAAGTGCTGCACTGCTGTTTGTCCCCACTGCTCGTTTTTCAACTAAATATCTCAGTAAGTGCAATCCTTCTCATAGGCCTCCCTGTATAAATGGAAGCCTACCTTGGTCTAGGGTCTGCTTTACCTGAATTAATCTTGGACTGAAGCCATTTTTTCATGCATTCCTGGTGAACATACTGCAGACTTCCAGTGCATTTGCATGGCTCTATTAAAAGGTTGTCAGAACTTGCAGAGGACATTTGACAGATTCTGCATAAGTCACCCTCTTCATCTTCAGAATCTTCTAAAAGCAGGCTGAATAGGAAGGAATACCAATACACGCTGTAACACATTTCATGAAAGATTTACGTGACGAAAATTCTATTTATCTAACTGTTCTCAAACCAAGAAGCTTAAAACAAGCTTCTGTAACGACAAAAGTGAGAATAGAGGTGACAGGGGACTGAGTTGCTGCCTCCTCTGAAGGAGAGTTTTCTTTCAAAATCACGAGTGCAGAAAGCCCTTTCATCTTAAGACAGGTACATTTTACTACCTCGAAAAAATTACTAATTTACCTCTCTTTAATTTTCTGAAGTCTTTCTGGATCTCTTGAAGGTGGTACTTTAGACTTGCCACTTTCTTGTCCATCAGATTGATTCCAGCCAGAGGGAATAATATCTACAGTTATCATAAGATTGTCAGATAGACTGCTTCCTAATGTTGGAGGCACCGCAAAGCGAAAGAGAGAACCAGGTAGAATTCCAGAACTTCTACTGTGGGCTGAATCTGGTGGGGAGGCAGTAGCTGTAGAAATACCAGACACTGCAGGTGTTGGTGGTCTGCTAACAGAAGCCCGAGGAGGGCTACCTGATGCTTCAAGAGAGGTCTCCTCACCTGACTCTCTCCTTCTAAAGACATGGTGTGATCTAGCAGTTGTATCAGAGGTAGAGATCCTTGCAGATTCATCTCTTCCTTCTCTTCTTCTTCTAGAAAAGAGAGGTGTACATCTGTTCCTCAAAGAGGATGACAACCAGGATCCTGCGCTCCTACTTTCAGAGTCTGGTCTGTAGCTGTCCCCATCTGAATCAGAGTTGCGATTCTGTGAAACTCCTGATAAACCCCATCTTCGTCCAAGAAAACTAAACCCCTGAGAAGCTTCAGATGACTGAAGTCCTGGAACTTCCGGAGTTGCAGCTCCATTACTACTCGACAGAGCAGAAGCCTGAACTCTTGGGACCACTGTTGACTCTTCAGAGCCTAATGATCTTGTATGCAATGGGTCTTGGCTCGACCTTCGAGAGAAAAATGTAGATGACATACTAGATGCTAAACGGGACAGCAGCTGCCTGGTTGTGCGCCTCCCTTCACTGTCAGCTGCAGGCTCATTCGGTGACCTCTGGGAAGATAAAACCCTTTCAGAACCCCTTGAGGAAGGGGTTTCATCTCTCATGGCAGTAAGAGAAAATGCTGGGTGCATGCTCCTCTGGGGAAATTCCAATTCATTTCTCCTTTGCCTCAAAGAATAGCTGGATCTTGAAGAGCTCATATTAGAGTCTCTGTTGAAAAAAGATGGCTGAGGATCAGAAGGCAACTGGCGGTTCACAGATGCATTCAGCCTCAAAGTGCTTAAGGAGCTCTCTTTTGGTCTTGCTCCCTCCGCATATGAAGAGGCAGGTCTGTCTTGAAGGTCTGTTGCAGAAAAACAGAGGAAAACACAATGACAAGTGCTCTAACACAGCAGCAAACATTCATGGTCAGGTTCAAAAAGGCTCCAAGCAACCTGACCTAGTTAAAGATGTCCCTGCTCATTGCAGAGCGATTGTACTAGATGGACTTTAAAGGTCCCTTCCAACCCAAAACATTCTATGAGTCTTACAAGTGTATTTTCTGTAAATACTGTCTAAGTACCTCAACACACTGAAAAGAACTCCACTGTAGCTGAAATGTAGTAAACACAACATGAATCATCTGAGGTGGCTAAAATCAGATAGTCTCCCTCCTAAAATGGCTAGATTTGGAGGTTGGGGATGGGAAAAGGGGAGAGGAAGAAGAAGCATAGGTAGCTGAAGGTAGGAAACAGAAGCTCTCTATGATTCTGGAATTGAAACCTTTCACGTTCGTAGTTTTGGTAGCTTTTCTTTATGGGTTCTGCATTGCAATCACCATTTATTGCTGAAGCTGAGGTTTATGCATCTGGCAGATTTTAACTAAAGAAATATCTGCACAGATGCCAAGCATCTGCCATACAGTTTTTTTACACAGCAGGGAACACAGTCACGAATTATTTTTACAGCACTTAAAAGCAGCACTACTGCTAGAAATGCAGCATGGACAGTATAAAGCATGGTTGTTCACTTATCCACTTCTCTCATTAGGCTCTATCAGGTAATCTGAGCTGTCCACTTTACTAAAGAAGTGTAGAGTATGATGACATTAAAACATACTCCTCTGCTGAGGCAGGACTGCAGGCTGAAATGTGGAACTAGTTTTTAGCTTTTCTGCTTATCTTCTATAATTATAAAAACAACATTTTTTTAAACCTCTGCTTTAAAAAACATCACTGAATACACTTGCAAAAGGTAGCAGATCAAGATTGACGATGAGTTTCCCCAGAAACAACTCTAGAAGGCCACAACACTCTGAACAGAAAATGACTATTACAGCACAGAAGTCCTTAGGAATCCCATCACTTGCCATGAGACAAACCTCTTGCATCATGCAAAGTATTTGTTCATTCATTTTTATTTTCAGTGGTTTAGGGGTTTTCCCTAATACCCATTTGAGAACACAAATGAAAAGAGATAATAAGCCATGGGCACCTTTAGGAAAAAAAGTTTCCTGGGTCAAATTAACATTATTTTTTTCCCATACCTAAATACAAAGTGATCTTAAAGTAGAAGAGAGCCTTACTAACTAATCACACAGTTACAATGGTGAGCACCACTTTCACATGACTGAATGCATCTACAAGGTAGACCATTCACATATCTTTTAGTGGTTTGGCCAGTGCACGCCAAGTGACCAACCAACCTGATTTAAAAGGATACCTTAAAATTAAAAAGACATTTTGGGTTTGTGTTTTGAGTAAAATATTAACATGCCCAGAGAAGATGTGGACATCCCATCCCTGGAAGTGTTCATGGATGTGGCTTTGAGCAAACTGGTATAGTGCAAGGTATCCCTAACCATGGCAGGGGGGTGGAATTACATGAGCTTAAAGATCCCTTCCAAACCAAATGATTCTGTGATTCTACGAACATGTTCAGTAACTAAAAGGGATACAAACTGTAGGTTTACAAGCTTTCAGTTGCACAATACATACACGTTGAAGGTGAAAAGTCACTGTTTCTGTAGGTCGGATCCACCACATTGTTAACGGACAGATCTGTTGTTCTTTCTAACTCTCTTCGCATCACTGATGAAGACCTAGGAATCCTACTGCATCTCCATGAGGAATCTAGAAAGAAAAAGTAAATAAATCCTCTGTTTTGGTAATCATCCATTAAAGTTGGCACTTGCACATGCATTTTTGTTATTCCACAGTGAGTTTAACATTACCATTAAACTGATTAAGTGGTCAGTGGCAAACATAAAGCCCAGAATGAGCAGCATTCTGCTGACCCTGGCACGCACTTAATCTTGCAGTGAGTTCTGAAGGCCAAATGAAAAGTAATAATAGTTTTGTGAAGAGTCAGACCCATTAACACTCAGACAGGACAAAGAGAAGTAGCATCTTGCTTCCTCATGGTAGCTAGTTCTTACACAGGTTTCACAATATAGCAAAAACAGCAGCCTGACACTTAGTAAATGCTGCCATTCTTCTTGATGCTACTTAAATGCTTCTAAAATTCATTTTCCACAAAGACAGCTGAAGCTTAAATGTAGTTTAGACACAACTTTCAGAACAATTACTAATACAGTTTTTATTACAGAGTAAAACAATTCAATGTAAAAAAGGATGTTATTTTTTTACCAACAGCTTCAACCACCACATAGGGAACTGTACACACTTCAACTGTGGACAAAACTCTTGTTCCAAATAAGTGTTCTTCGACGGTTCTGAAAAATTCACCTTGATTTTGTTCACTGCTAACTTAGAAATCTAATTTAAGCATTCCTTGGTCAGCAGCATAATGACCAACCAATCTAGAAATGGAAAGACAAACAGTTCTACTCCATAATGAGAAATGCCAACAGTTGTCATCTTATTAACAGAGTCAGAAAGCATCATTAATACTGGGGTTTAAGTAGGAACTTACTTTTATTTAGATTGGCTGTGAGGCTCCAGAAGGGGATATAAAAATAACATTAATCCATGCTTATAAGGGTAGACTGAATGAAACTAATGGTCTTTTTCAAAATGTTCTAGAAATACTTTTAGTGCAAGTTTTTGACTGTTACTTCCTGAGCTTTAGACTTTTGTTGGCATATTGCTTAAATTCTGTCTATCCATGTTTCACCAACTTACTTCAAGATACCTTTAACGAAAACCTCAGCTCTTCACGTAAGAGCTTTTAGAACGTTTCTTTTTGTGTGGCTTACAGAATGAATTTAGGCCCTGCTAAAAAAAGAACTCTTTCTTCCCTGACCCCTACCACAGTGCTCTAACCAGCCACAACACTGGGCTTGGAACATATTACTAACTACAGTAAAGATTTCTTTTCTGCGCTCCCTGGCACACACTGATGTACCAACACAATTTGACTCATGAAATAAGAGCAGCTGCACTCATTCTTTCCTTGAAATGTTAACCAATTAAGACATACTTGAGCCATGAAGTTCAGCTTTACTGCAAATGGAATAAGCACAGGTAAAAATTCTGAAATTACACAAGTACAACTGGGTTTCAAAAGACCATGTTAAGAGCATTCTTGGTATTTGGGATACTGCTGTCATTACATACATACTCTTCTGATAGGCATAGGCTTTTATTATTTAAGAATAATAAAGGCATAATATTTCAAAGCAAGTCTTTTAAAACTTGATAAAACCTGAACTTACTACTCAGACAACTGTGATGTAACTCAGCTCAAGTAATCAACCTCTCACCTGAAAAGGCAGACAAGCCATTACTTCTCACAGAAGAGGTAGATGTACACGATAGCTTAGGTCTCTTTGAATCACTGTCTTGCTGCTGTCTTGAATATGCTCCCTGAGTTCTCTCAGACTCACCATAACATCCAGATGAAAAATAAGAGGAAGACGATGTCGACTGCAATAACATCAAAAAATTACACAGTATTTCAGATGGGCTTACACTGAACAAAAGTGTACATAATGTAAAACTCACAGAAATAGTATAGAGTAAGTCTTAGATACAAAATCCTTTCTTTAAAAATAACTTAGGAGTTGTGCTTGCACTCTTGATCAGTATTTCCAGGTTTACTCAGTACAGTCCTACCAAAAATTCAGCTCCTATGACATTCAAATATAATTTTCCCTTTATAGACAGATATGGCTTACAGGGCAAAAATTATATTCCTGGCCTCTAAGATGCTATAAACACAATCAAATATAGCTTTACAGATCTTCAAGGGAACATAATTTTGCTGTCCAGACATTGCCAAAAATCGATCAGCAACATTATTTTATTTAACAGTTTAACTATTCCAACTTATTTTTAGCAAACTAAAGTATAATTAGTTAACAAGTGAGCTTCAAGTAAACTGCTTGAAACAGGTATATTTTGATTGCAATAAGCCCAAGTGCTACTGAAGCAGTTCAGAGTAAAGAACAGGTACAAAACAATTTTTGCAGTGTAGAACAGTGAAATAAAAGTTTTCAGAAACTAGTACCCTAGTACTTAGAAAAAAAATTGGGATAGCCTATAAAGCTATTTGTCTGGTTACTTGCAGCTAAGGCATTCCTTTTCTATTTGAAATGGTTTGGATTTATTTTTTTCATATATATTATTTTAAAAAAAAAAAGTTGAGATCAATATAAAGCACAATTGAGCTGTTTGTCTTCTCCAAAAACTATCTACAACCAAGATCCTTTAAGAATCAACCAAACTGCAGGATATGTTATAGCTATGGGGTGTTATTTTGTTATGGTTTTTACTAAATTTAAGCCACAACTCTTTCAAACTAAAAAGTATCTAAGTATTTCTCTCATCCCATCATAAAAGACAGATAGGGAGACACAGAAACCAACAACAAAACCAAGTACAAAGCTAGGTGTGGTGCTTTTAATCTAGGCCTTCCCTGGTTACCAGTTTGTAACCAAGGAAGGTGTTCCCAGTATTCCATATGATTTTTACGTAAATCGTGGTATAAATAAGAAGGGAGGAGCGGCCTTAGTTTCTCTTCTCTTCTGCCAGAGTTCGGGAACAGTGGGTCCCTGCGTTGGTCTGGCTTATCTAAGGCTGAGGCTGCAGCACCCACTGACCTGCCACGTGGAAGCTTGGAGAGTGCTGGCCGTGTCTGCCAGTCCTGCTTTCTAAGGGACATGGTGAGATTTGTTTTACTAGTTATTTTACTGGTTCTCGGGTTTGATTGTGCATATCTATCGGTGTCCCTTTTTGTTTCCTTTTGTCCCTTTTTCCCCTTTCCCTATCCCTTTGGGGGTGTTTGGATTCCCATTTGCTGTGTACAAAGCATCTTAACTGTAATATACATAAAATATATTTTTTATATAACTAGCTTGATTTTCGGATTCTTCAATTTACATAGTTTTTTTCCTTTGCCCTAGGAGAAGTAGAAAGAGGGCAAGAGAGAGGCTACTACTAGAGGGTTGGGCATTTGGCAGGGAGTCAAGTCCAAACCATCACACTAGGTTATTTTCCTTTATGAATCCTCTACTTAACATATTATTTATTTTTTAGTCATTTACAATTTGATAAATGGAAGTTTCTGAGTGTCTTCTGCAATGTTCACTGAAATTTAGGAAAAATATTAACCTTAATGGATAAAAAAAAAGATTTTCATCTTGAAAACTCTATAGCATCAACTTAACTAGGTATGTAGACCACTTACAACCACAGATTCCATTTGCATTTAAGTACACTGACCATGGCTTCCCCTGAAGGGCAGCATGTGCACACTAGTTCCTCTCTCCCCCTCCCCATTATTTCAGTGTCTTCACCTTCAAGTCACCTAAGAAAACAAACACCTCTTTAACGATTCGAGCACTCTTATGTACCCAAACTTTCAGTTTGAGAGCGAGCAGAAATTTTACTTCTCCACTACTATCCCATCAAAGTTGCTCAGAGTTTTCTGGTTTTCCCATCTTAATATTCATACTGCACTTAGAAGTGTTTTACTGTCAATGTATAATCATGGCACAAACTAACTACTTTATTTTTGGAGTTACAAAGGCACATTCTAGAAACCAGTTATGACAAGCTGTTAAGGCCTGAGCCTTGAATTTCATGGAAACGATTAAGCCTCCATTTTCTTTCACAGTATAATGTAATCAGTAAGCACAAGAAGACTATAAACTACACCTCCACAATTAAGTTTCTTAAAGCAGGTCTTCACATCCACCAACTTTGTGTTAACTCACAGAACTGGTACCATCCACAATCCACACCCCGCTGAAATACCTGATGGAACAAGCTGAGTATAAATACTATTGTTGCCATCCATGGGACTTGTAACATGTATCAGAATCTAATTACCCCCTTCTTTTTTCTTTTTAAACAGACATTTGCAGAGCCACTCACTTCAAATTTATTTATTAACTCTTACTAAAACTAGTATGTATTACTATTTTTATGCTCTGAATAATTTCTTAACACTGCTATCTTCTAGCTTTTGCTCCATCTTGGCTTACCCAGAAACATTACATTGAGCCCCTGATAGCAGCTTGTCAGATTGGGAAGGCTAAAGTAAAACCCTGAGTTTAAATATTTTTTTCAGGTATTACACATTAACAATTCTCACCAATCTGCTCCTGCTTCCCAAAAATCTTCCAGAATGTGGATGATCGAGTGTCCCTGAGTAGCGGGTTGGAGAGGACACTGAAAGCTTCCAAGGAGTCTCGCGGGTGTCTCTTTCTCCAATTCCCCAGTCTCTACCGGAACTATTCAATACACTGGGTTCCTGAAGAACAACATACTTATTGTACGCATCTTGTAACTCACAATCAACTCAGCATCCGATATCAATATTGAAAATACAAGGAAGTGGAGGCAGTAACATATCTGGAAACCTTTAGTAAGAAACCCCAAGGCATAGCCAAAAAAATGAAACAGGCTTAAGAGAGAAGCACTGGCAAAAGGAAAGATTTTTTTGGTTAAAGTACTTCCTAGCAATGATCAGTTCCTTCATCTGTCCTCTCACTTGACCACAGATAGTAAAAAGTGTAAGGCTTTGTTATCCCAACTTAGATACTGCAGCAACAGGGCAGAATTAAAGGCCTGACTTTCAAGTGTTGTGCAAAAAACCCCACATATGTAGAAGAAGTCTCCATGACAACAAATGCACCTATCTGGCCACTAAAGCCATCTGTCTTGTCCTGGTCATCAGTTTTAATACAGAAAAGAGTGGTGCAAAGAGGTGGGAGGGAAAGAAGAAAAACAGCCTACTAACTGATAATTATTGTTATATAAGGAACATGATCTGTCCAAGGAAAATAGATTGTACAGCAAATGTAAACTATGTCACCAAGTTATCATTCCTTAAAAATGCTCCTGCAAATTACACAGTATCTTCTCCAAGCCTTAAATACTTCTATTTAACCACTACTTAACGTTTTTATTTCTCTGCAGTCTATTCTAATAATCCATCATTATGCTATTCGTAGAGAAGGACTGAAAAATAATCATTATTAATTCCAATTACATTTCATGCAAGCAGCAAAAATAAACTTCCATTTTCCATTACAAAATCAAAACTTTTGTGTGTCTAAGCTTTTTGTAAATTACTAACATCGAAGATCACCACAAAACAGTGAACAGCACTGCGTATAAAACCACTTTAAGAAATAAGGTAAATGGGTTATGCAGCCTACTTCAGACACAAATACTGATTCCACAATTTGATATGCGTAACAAACCAAGACTGTTTGGCAAAACAGTCCTGCAAATAAGCAGAGTTTGCTGCATTTCCTGAGAACAAAGTGCTCAAATTATCTGAAGTCTGAGGAAGTCTGCAGGGCAACCACCACAACTGTTCTCTTTTTGTGTTTTCTCTTCCAAAATCAGAGTTCTAATCCTCCCCTGGGCTACTGAGGCGAGTTTCTAACAATTAAAATGGGAACCATTTAACATACAGGTATGTCTGTCTTTAGGAGAACCTAAGGGATGAGGCTCTGGACTACCAGTTAGACTGAATTCCAATGAATATAAGATAATTCAGGAAAGACACTGCAATTTAATTTGTTCCATCAAATAATCACTGAGATTAATAAAATTAACAGAAATAACAGAAATCCAACCATTTTATTAATACTAAGAAGCATTTCTAAGCGATTATTTGTCCATTCTCTTTCTACAAACTATTAATACTACAAACACAGTAGTTGCTGTCACCATTTCTTAAAAGTCATAGGATTGGGATTTAAAAAGCTGAAGAAATATTCATGGCTCATCATTCTCACAAGCAAAATTAAACCTCATATTTTCAAGTCTCAGTGGGATTCATCATATTTCCAGATTATTTCACATATGGATAATCAGCCCATGGGCAGAAGACTAAACAACTTGAAGATAAAAGTAAAGCTCTCTTAAAATGTCCTTACTATGAGCCATACCTGCAGACTTAATTGATCTTGAAACACCTGCGTTTCCCTTTTCTTTTCATCTGCTAGATTCTGAAAATGTGAGAATCCGATCTGTCTGGATCACCACGCTAAAGAACCTAATTCAAGAACACCACACTCAGACCAGCACAACTCTGAAAGCCCAGTCATGGAGCTACATCACCTACCATCCTAATGCCAAGCAGCTTTTGGTAGCTGTGGCACCTCCCTGCCCAGGGCTCATTTCTTTGACGGATGTCCCAAGGCCAACATAGAGAGAAAAAAAGCAACATACTGGGAATCAAAGAAGTGGCTTTAAGAGAAAGCAGACTATCAGGTATGATGTCAGGAATCCTCCAACCAATTGCTATATCTGAAATAACAACAACAACAACAAAACCAAAACAAATGAACAACAACAAAAAAAATCTGTCTGCTTTCTTTCTTCAATTCACCTTAAGACTAGTTAACATCCCCTGCGAGAACTTAACAATTAAAGCACTACCTAATGTAGTTTATTTTGGTGTCGATCTGAGGCCTAAGTAGCAGAAAACTGTGACTGGGAAAAGATTCACAACAATTTGATACACTGCATTTGACCCTATCCCGCCATTAAAAAAAAAAAAAACAAAAAAACAAAAAAACAAAACAAAACAAAACCTTACAATTAATTTCTCACAAAATGTATGTTGTAACATAAAGCATAGGAATTTCTTCTCATACCATTACACTAATTTTATTTTTTATATTTTAAGTCACCTAGAAACAAAGCTGTATCACATACAGCTGGTTAGTTTACAATTAACCTTTGTTCTGCTTCCTCAGAGAAGCAGAGGCTAGCCCCTAGACTGATCTCAGAAGTGCACGACATACAAAAATTCACACCTATATGAAAAAGAAAGGGAAGGAGAACAATAGAAACCTTTCTTATTTTTTTAGCCCTAGTCAAAACCAAATACTCAAATTTTGACTGCTCTGTCCCAAAAGTTTGAGTTAAGTTACAATTAAATATTCTCTCTATAGAAATTACTCTGTATTTAAAAGCCAAGTCCCCAAGTTCCTTTCATCTTTATATCCAAAGCATTACTGATAGTTACATGTTTTTTCTTATAAACGACAAATCTTAAATGATTTGTAACTGAAGCAGCTCTTAAATATTTTAAGGTAGGCTTCTGAATGAATTAACAAATCAAAAACGCCTGTCCTTTCCATTCCTATCTGACTGGACTTAATCTTATTTAGACTATTTGTTTCTTCACACCCTGGTCTCTGTAATCTTAACTTGCAAGCACTAATGTAATTTGTTCCTACCAGCTCTGTAAGTACCAAAGGTTAGTTAAGAGAGGGAGTTTCCCTGCGCTTTTATCACTAAGCACTAGTCTTGTGAAACAAGGTCTCAGACTAACTTCTATGAACTGAGAGTGGAAAGGGATACAATATAATCTTCTATACAAATACTTTCCCCTAAATGTTATAAAGATCATTCCTCAGATTAGAAGCACTTTGCTCAACAGGAAATAGTCAAGCATACACAGGGCAGTGAACATATGGCAGTTTGTGTAATAAACTAAATAATGTAAGGTACGTTGTGTTAAAATTTCTTAACAGTAGCAACACATCAAACCTCACAGAACCAGTTCAGCTGAAGACTCATCTTCTGATCAACAGCTTTCAGTATATGTACACTGTGTGTGGACTGTGTCCATAAATTCCCACAAAAGAGCAAGGCTGTTTGATTTGGTTTTGCAAAGCAGCCAGCCCATGAAAAACATGGGGGAATCCAAAAACCAAAACCAACTGACAACTGCTTGCCCTTACACATTCCCTATAGCCTATGTGCTAACGAACATGTGCATGCCGGAGATAACAAAAATGTAACACACCTATGTGTACTTGTGCTAAAAATAATGTTCCGTTACTTGTAAAACTGTTTCTGAAAAAGGCATTACATAACACAATGTCCCAGATAGCTTGTCAGCAGAGACCAAACTCCTAACCATTTTTTTTTTAAAATACGAACATTTAATCACAGAGTTAAGTTTCTGCAATTTCAAAGATCAAAATGGGTTTACACTTCTGGGCCCAAAATTGAGGTGAGAATTGCTGACAGGAGCAGAAGCAAACTAGTAAAGTAATTGAGCTGAACTGCTACCTGTGGCTTACAAGTGCCCAAAGTAATTCCTAAAGTAGAGTAATCTCTCCTTCCCATAATACTCTTCCAAAAGTGAAAGTACCTGCACAGTGTGAGTACTTCCTCTTGAGCATGGCTCCTTGCCCCCAAAAACGCAGTTTTGGCAGTGTGAAATGCTGTTCACAGATTACTGTCATTGGCCTGGTTATTAAATTCTTGCACTTGAGAATTTTTTTTCATCTGAGTTTTGGGGCTTTTCTTGGTTAAAAAAAAAAAAAACCACCTTGAAATTAATTTATACTTTACAAAAAGAAAAAAAAAAAACAAAACATTACCTGGTATCCAGATTCTAATCTCCATGAAGATTCTCTTGCACTATATGCACCAGCTAAACTGTTTCCAGTCAATGTCCTAGATCCTAGGGAAGAGCTGGAAGCCTGAACAGATATTCTGCGAGGAATTCTTGAGGGTTTTGACTCCATTCTTTGTATCCTGTACAAGGACACACTGATTATTTTTTCTCCTATAAGTAGGGACCTCATGCAAAACAGGCACAGTCATTCTGATGTAACATAAATACGATTCACACATACGAATATTAAATACACAGCGCTTTGGTCTGACTGTGCATCAATAAAATGGGGAAACAAGCTCTCACCCTGGCTTTTGCAACCTCTTTTGTAGAAAACTAGAAATACAGCCCCTTTTGCTGTACTTATTTTATTACAATATACTCTTGTTATTATAAATATTATATATATATATAAAATATAGATAGATAAAATATATAAATATACTCCCTTAAGATCCTCACAGCACTCACCACAAAATGAGTCAGGAAAAAAGTACTCAGATTTCTTAAATTCATGTATTACATTTTTGCTAATAAACTGTATCTCAACACTCGCAGAAATTATATTCAGACTTATTTTTCAGGGTCAAAGTCATGAAACTTCACCTCCCTGAGAAAAAACATATCTGCAGTCTCCCTGCCTTTAACTTCTCCAAGGATGATTCCCATGAAAGTTAACATATGCAAAGGAGCACATGCTATCTCACAGGTGTATACATATACATATACATACCTCTAAGTATTTCTTTGCTCTTTTGATATTTCTAGGCATTTCAAAAGAAATGCTGTGCCTTTTTCCCTCACGAAGGGACCCCAGAGTCATCCCTGTCCTTGAAATAGTATCTTGAGTTAGTGTTTTTCTAAAACTCCGGATAGCGACCTAACTGGTCTGCTTATATTCACAGATTTTTCCTCCTCAGGATGGTACAGACGGAATCAGATCACAGAAGGTAGCTCTTAAATAAAAAATT